GCCATCCATGCTGAGACCTGAGGTAGAAACCTTACTGCTTCTCTCAAAGCACAAGGATAATTCTGCTCACACTATGCTGTTCTGTAATGTACTGTGCTGGGTTTCAATGGTTTCTCTTTTGTTTCTCTGTACTAATTTTATCTCTATGTACTCTGTACTAATTTTATCTCTATGTACTGAAATTCAGGAGCTGTCCATGGAGTCAGGCATCGATCCAGGCCAAGACTACTACAGGGATGACAACTATAATCACGACCAGGGGTGAGTAAAAACTCAGATGATTTTCCCATCCCTCATCAGTATCGCTCTGATCCAGGGAATTTAATTGATCTCCACTGGTTAATTTAAAGTTTAAAGTTATCCCATTAAGACACATTTTCGGATTTATCTTGAACTTACATTGCACAAGCCTCCGACACACACACACACACACACACACACACACACACACACACACACACTGAGTGATCCTTTGGGTTGGAGAGTAATGTGGGAAAATTCTAAATGATGGGTTAAGTATAACATATTGCATTAGTACCCCTCCAGTTATGCAGATCATGCCTTTGTTTACCCTTTCCACTCCCACCAAATGTAATGTATTACTCAGCCTTGAGTGGAGCATGGCACCTGAGAGCCTGGTAACGGTCTCCTCCAGTAGGGAAGAGAGGAGAGGGTACTTTGGCTTGCATGGTACACTGCAAATCGCCTATATGGTCTAGAGGAAAATGCTGGAATCTACAGCGATACAAACAGATGTTAACCTAATGTTATGCATTGAGGGGAGTTAAGCTACTTGGAGGTGATGCTAATCCCCTAAGTGAATCAAACCTTAGTGAATTGTGTGAAGTGGATCATCGACTACTCAACGTATTTTAATTGCATGATCACGTAGGCCTCATCAACTCTGTGACATACCCTCTCATCATCCATGCAAATTCTAATTGCCACACCGGATGCTTAGTGTGTTTGTATGACGAAGCCCTTCCGTTGAGTCTGACAGTAATTGTGTTGTGAAGACTGGTCGACTCTGTGGGACAGCAGGTCCTTATTAAAGCTGCTGCTGCTGCTGCTGCTGAGGTTGCTATTACAATAACCCCAGACTGCCTTTGATCCGTTTCTATTTAAAGAGCAGGGAGCAACTTAATCCAGCGATCACTAGCTGTCGGTCTTCAGCGGCGACCCAGCGACTTCACGTCTCCAGAAGGTGTTTCTAATGCAGATTTCCCAGTGACCTGCTTCCATCAGTTTCCACAAAGTCACTGGTTTAATGCAGCTGGATTTTGGCACCCATGCCAAGTGGGTTACAGATAGGACCACAAATCTGTTTTGGCACACTATTTCAGATCTGACACAAATGTTGGTATGATGCTGATTGATACCGGCCCCATATTGCACCTCATTTACAGATTCAATGTGGGGCTAATGGAGACTATGATATGGGCCTTTTAATTGTGCATCGCTCACAGCTGTAATGTGGGCAGAGTTTAGCCTTTACTCCCAGGTACAGTGCCTTCGGAAAGTATTCAGATCCCTTGACTTTTTCACATTTTGTTAAGTTACAGCTTTATTCTAAAATTGATTAAATTGTTTTTTCCACCTCATCAATCTACACACAATACCCCATAATGACAAAGCAAAAACTTTTTTTATCAATTTTTGCAAATGTATTACAATAAAAAACAGAACTTCAATGGAGTTCTGTTGAGTTCAATCTTGGTTTCATCAGACCAGAGAATCTTGTTTCTCATGATCTGAGAGTATTTAGCTGCCTTTTGGCAAACTCCAAGAGGGCTGTCATGTGCCTTTTACTGAGGAGAGGCTTCCATCTGGCCACTCTACAATAAAGGCCTGATTGGTGGAGTGCTGCAGAGACGGTTGCCCTTGTGGAAGTTTTTCCCATCTCCACAGAGGAAATCTAGAGCTCTGTCAGAGTGACTGTCGGGTTCTTGGTCACCTCCCTGACCAAGGTCCTTCTCCCCCGATTGCTCAGTTTGGCCTGGCAGCCAGCTCTAGGAAGAGTCTTGGTGGTTCCAAACTTCTTCCATTTAAGAATGATGGAGGCCACTGTGTTCTTGGGGACCTTCAATGCAGCAGAAATGTTTTGGTACCCTTCCCCAAATCTGTGCCTCCACACCATCCTGTCTCGGAGCTCTATGGACAATTCCTTTGACCTCATAATCATGTCCAATCAATTGAAATTACCACAGGTGGACTCCAATCAAGTTCTAGAAACATTTAAAGGATGATCAATTGAAACAGGATGGACCTGAGTTCAATTTTGAGTCTCATAGCAAAGGGTCTGAATACTTTTTTATTTGTAATACATTTGCTAAAATACAAAAATAAAACTGTTTTCGCTTCGTCATTATGTGTGTAGATTGCTGAGGATTTTATTTTATTTTATCAATTTAAGGCTGTAACATAATAAAATGTGAAAATTTGTCAAGGGGTCTGAATACACAGTATTCTCTTCACACCCACTATCTCATGTATTTGTACATATTAAATTATGCAGCAGATCAGTGTTTACCCCTTTTCTCATGCATGTCATCTCACAAGTTAGAGGGATGTGGGGTGTAGAGCAGAAGTCAAACCAAAATAACCATGACAACTTGGGAACGGTTGATTGTGCAAATTTAAGAATGTTTTATGCACATCTACATATGTAACACAGTACATATGCAATTGTTTTATTGTTAGAGCTAGTGCTTCAAATGTCTCACATCCCTAGGGCTGTGAGCAGAGGTTGTTAGTTACTGTCACCTCTCAAAATATATTTCACAATGCTGGAAAGGAATTATGGTAGAAACAGCCCTTAATCTGTTTCCCGTTTGCCGTTTGTTTTTCCTCTCAGGTATGACCTTCCTCAGTATGGCAGTCACAGGAAGCTGATCTCTCCCATGTACGATGAGCATGGAGAGCTGATTATAGAGGATGACTACTATAGCCCCCATGGGTCTGAGGTACTTATTTTACTATATGTATCAACAATTTGATAAGATCAACAATTGTATTTTGATTATCAATACAATATATCAATAGCTAGGTTTCCATCCAATTGGCAACAGATTTTGATGTGAATATAAACAAATCTGAATATAAAAAAAAATATGTGTTTCCATCAAATTGACTTGTTGCAGATAAAAGGCTGTGTGTCATGACATAATGCACATAAAAATAACTTTCGGTTAAATTTCCATGTACCAAATGAAATAGACAAGTTAATTGTGTTTCCATCGCATTTTCATCTCTAATGATGGTTTTGTCACAAACAAAATTGCATTATATAGCAAATGTGCCCACTCTGGTATTGGCATGTGCGCTCTCGCCAACAGCTCGCAGATACAGTGCAAGTATAACCTATGATGAGATTATTATGGACAAAATTATTTGTATTTGTCAAACGGCAGCCAAGCATTGATCATCATGTCACCAGAAAAAGACCCTTGATATTTATTGGAAAGGAGCATCAAGCTCATCACCGTGCACTTTCACTACCCTATGAAGTTCATCATAACTTAATTAATATTGCCTAATAAACAACATGCTTTCCCAAGTCAAAATATAATTGATTGACTCCAAGTTTACTTCGATATGATGGTTATTATAACAATATTTGCGCATATAAGCAAGGGGTAGAGGGCAAGGAGGCAAGAGGGTGGGATTCAGAGACCTACCACCAGGAGGATGAAATCGAGCAGGCAGAGCCTGCGGAGAGCGAGGAACCTTGTGAACACTCCTCGGCTGCCAAGGCTGAAGTCCGTCATGAAGAAGCCAGTAAGAATGGAGACCAGACTGCTGCAGCCGGAGAAGCAGGCCGATCCACCTGGAAGAAGGCCAAGATGTTCAAGATGTTTGGCACCAAGAAGGACAAGGACTACGCTAAACTGATATTGGCCCGCCGCATCGACAGTCAGAAGAGTCTGATGGGGGGACCTGCCAGTGATGGTCCAATAGACACCAAATCCACTGCCAGGAGCCGCCTGGGCAAGGTGATGAAGCACATCAACCTGAGCAACAGGCTGCAGGTGAGGAGGAAGTTGCAGGGCAGCATTAGTCGAAGCTCTGCCACAGGTAGCAAGAGAAGGACGATGTCTTGCAAGCTGCCACAAGCGATGAGGAGAAGAAGTCCAAGTTGTAGGAGTGGAATGGAGAAGGAGAAGTGTTCTTATGAGGAATCAGAGAGAAGCACCTCTTTCCACTGAGGACAAAGATCTGGACCAAGATGATACCTATGAAAGCACTGTGGACTCAGGGCGTGATGAGACAGAGAAGGAATCTGGCACTGAAAAGGAATCGGCGACAAAAAAAGAGTCAGATTCAGAGAAAGAGTCAGGCTCAGAGAAAACATCTGGGCCAGAAAATGAATCAGGATCAGAGAAAGGTTCTGATTCTGAGAAATAATCTGATAGTGGGACAGAGAAAGAGTAAGGAACTGAAAACTAAGGAACTGAATCCAGTACAGAAAAAGGCTCTGTGACTGATAAAGATTCTGAGGAAGAGTCTGAATTGCCTATTCTTCCATGAAGTCATCTGGCACTTCTACTGAAAGGTCCAGTGGAGGGACACAAGGCAGCTTGAGGAGCAGTGCTTCTGGCATCAGCGGAAGTGGCAGTGGAGTGCTAGTGACAGTGGCAGGGTAGCATTACTGGCAGTGGAAGTGCTAGTGATGGTTGTAATGTTACTGGCAGTGGTAGTTTTAGTGGCAGTGGTAGCAGCGCAAGAAGTGCTGCTGCCCAGCCTGGTTCTTCCATAAGATCATCACCAAGTGCCGGAGGCAGTTGGTGGGCAGTTAAGGGGAGTCAGGGTCTGGGTTGGGACGCTCATGTACAGCAGTGGCAGCCAGAGCCAGCTCTCTAGATCAGAGGTCAGAGAGGCCGAGGAAAGCCAGCGGACGGACCAGAGCTACCTGGCGGGAAGCGAGAGGAGCTCCACCAGCTGCAGGTCCACTGGAGGCAGCCACAAGTCCTTCCTGACCCAGAGTTCACAGGACACCATCGATGAGGAGAACAAAGAGGAGGATGAAGAAATATGAAGAGGAAGGCAGCACCACCGATGAGAGAAAAAAGTCTGCAGAGGAGCTGAGTGACGGAGCAGTGTCCAGGAGGTCCAGCGTTTGCTGGAGAAGGGCCAAGCCACAGTACCTACGCGGAACCCCTTACGGCTCAGACTCTAGCAGCACCATGAAGGAGGCCTCAGAGGAGACCTTCGGAGGACACTCCCCCATCACAGAGGTGGACAAGGACACCAATTACACCATCTGAGAAATCGTCTGGGTCTGACGCCAGTTGCCAGGGGTAAGCTGGCTCCCAGTTTGGAGCCACAGAGGAGATTTTTATGATTCCGATGAGAACTCCACAGTCTTCTGAGGAACGCGTTTGTCAGCTGTGAAGAAAGATTAGCTGGAGTGAACTCTCACATGGGTGTGAAGAGAATACTGTGTGCTTCATTCTCAGTGTTTCATTCTCTTTACCTCTTTCTACCTCTTGGAAAGACTTCTTGCATGGAAGTGGAATAGGTTGTTCTTTCGTCTGCTTTGAATTTTTCTCTTTTCAATGGTGTTGAACCACACTTTAGCACCTTAGAATTTCGTTTGTATTCGAGATGTTTCTTCAACCAATTGCACATTGTGACTATTGACATATAGCCATATGATGACCATAATGTAACAGTGCTATGACCTACCAGCGGCAGGTAGCCTAGCAGTGAAGAGCGTTTGGCCAGTAGCCAAAGGTCTCTGGTTTGAATCCTCGAGCTGACTAAGTGAAAAATCAGTCTGTGCCCTTGAGCAAGGCACTTATTACTAATTGCTCCTGTAAGTCGCTCTGGATAAGAATGACTAAAATGTAAAATCATGTTTACAGAGTTGTGTGTTTCATATCCTGTTACTGTCATAGTTTTAAGATAACTTACGTACATTGATTGCCATACAAATATATATGACCTGTTTGGATGCATGATATATTTTAATATACGTAAATACTATTTTATCTGTGCATTAATCTCATCTTTGGCTCTCCATCTTTCTTTCCATCTTTTGTTCTCAGCCTGGGGTGAGGAAGAAGCGGATCAAGCTGGTGGTGGACAGGGAGTATGAGACCAGCTCCACGGGAGAGGACAGCGCTCCTGAACCCCAGAGGAACCGCCTGTCTAATGTCAACAGCCACTCCAACATCAATGGGAACGTCTACCTCTCTCAGAATGGGACCATTGTGCGGACCAGGAGGCCCGTGCACACCAACAACCTCAAGGTGAGCTCCCCTGGCCGCCTGGGCAAACCATTTAAAAAGCTGGACATGCTGACTGAGACTCAGGAGAAGCTTCCTCTAAACAGCATGGGGGAACCGGTAACAGGAAATGGAATATGTACACTTATGGGCATTACCTCCACCGTTGACATTAACCTCAACAATCGGTCCTCCAGCGGGTCCCTGGGGTCCAGCATCATACGCCTTGACATAATTGGGTTCAAATACAATATTGCCAAGGCCCTACATGACAGGAACAGCAGGAGTAACTGTTGTGTAAATGAGCAGGAGTCGTGCGTGGACAACATGGCATCGAAAGAGACTTTGACTTCCCACAGCGACCACACACTATCTGAGGAGGAGGAGCTGTGGATGGGGCCTTGGAACAGCCTGCACATACCAATGACTAAATTATGACATATGGACTGTTGAGTGTTTATATCTCTCTGTTAACAAAGTTGACCATGGTTTAAATGTGTTGGAGAAGGAGCAAAACATTATTGTATAGCTCTGCTGTAAAAGCGTAAATCACTGTCCAAGACTAGCAGTGTGAGGACTGGCCACCCCTCATAGCCTGGTTCCTCTCTAGGTTTCTTCCTAGGTTTTGCCTTTCTAGGGAGTTTTTCCTAGCCACCGTGCTTCTACACCTGCATTACTAGCTGTTTGGGGTTTTAGGCTGGGTTTCTGTACAGCACTTCGAGATATTAGCTGATGTAAGAAGGGCTATATAAAATAAAATTGATTGAAAAATTGATTGATTGCACTAACGGTATTGTTGCACAATTCTTATGAATGATTTTATGATTTTTGATATGATGATGTTTCATGTGTCAAATACATACAGTGCCTTGCAAAAGTATTCATCCCCCTTGGTGTTTTTCCTATTTTGTTGCATTACAACCTGTAACTTAAATTGATTTTTATTTGGATTTCATGTAATGGACATACACAGAATAGACCAAATTGGTGAAGTGAAATGAAAAAAAGTAACTTGTTTTAAAAAATTCGTACAAATAAATAACGGAAAAGTGTTCCGTGCATATGTATTCACCCCCTTTGCTATGAAGCCCCTAAATAAGATCTGGTGCAACCAATTACCTTCAGAAGTCACATAATTAGTTAAATAAAGTCCACCTGTGTGCAATCTAAGTGTCACATGATCTGTCACATGATCTCAGTATATATACACCTGTTCTGAAAGGCCCCAGAGTCTGCAACATCACTAAGCAAGGGGCACCACCAAGCAAGCGGCACCATGAAGACCAAGGAGCTCTCCAAACAGGTCAGGGACAAAGTTGTGGAGAAGTACAGATCAGGGTTGGGTTATACAAAAATATCAGAAACTTTGAACATCCCACGGAACACCATTAAATCCATTATTAAAAAATGGAAAGAATATGGCACCACAACAAACCTAACAAGAGAGGGCCGCCCACCAAAACTCACGGACCAGGCAAGGAGGGCATTAGGCAACAAAGAGACCAAAGATAGCCCTGAAGGAGCTGCAAAGCTCTACAGTGGAGATTGGAGTATCTGTCCATAGGACCACTTTAAGCAGTATACGCCACCGAGCTGGGCTTTACGGAACAGTGGCCAGAAAAAAGTCATTGCTTAAAGAAAAAAATAAGCAAACACGTTCGGTGTTTGCCAAAAGGAATGTGGGAGACTCCCCAAACATATGGAAGAAGGTATTCTGGTCGGATGAGACTAAAATTGAGCTTTTGGCCATCAAGGAAAATGTCTGGCGCAAACCCAACACTTCTCATCACCCCGAGAACACCATCCCCAATTGAGAATTTGTCGTAAGACTTAAAGATTGCTGTACACCAGCGGAACCCATCCAACTTGAAGGAGCTGGAGCAGTTTTGCCTTGAAGCATGGACAACAATCCCAGTAGCTAGATGTGCCAAGCTTATAGAGACATACCCCAAGAGACTTGCAGCTGTAATTGCTGCAAAAGGTGGCTCTACAAAGTATTGACTTGGGGGTTGAATAGTTATGCACGCTCAAGTTTTCTGTTTTTTGGTCTTATTTCTGGTTTGTTTCACAATAAAAATTATTTTGCATCTTCAAAGTTGTAGGCATGTTGTGTAAATCAAATGATACAACCCCCCAAAAAATCAATTTTAATTCCAGGTTGTAAGGCAACAAAATAGGAAAAATGCCAATGGGGTTAATACATTCACAAGCCACTGTAGTATTCACATAATGTAACACTGACTGTTATGATGAGTTTCTCGGGTATCAAGTAATTCAGGAAGGAGAATATACTTAAACAATTATATGGAGAGTTCATAAAAATATTTAATAGGTACGGTACCGGGTTCGTCTAACAAAAGGCTCGTGCTTTGCCTCTTGTCATCCCAACTACTAGACAAAGAAAATATCTCTCTTCTTATTGTCCCTGTTACAAATTGCTTCCACAACATATGTTAACCATCAGTTGGCACTCCCTTCTTTGATGGTATTACCCTGTACCCAAGTCAGTAAATTATATATATCAATCATTCTAAGATACACCACCAGTAAGCTACCTTGACATACTGGAATCCAGACTCTGTGGCACCAAGAGTCACTTAGCTAATCAATTTATCCTTGTTCCCACAACACCATGAAAAGGCATCATAACACTGACTACTCACTCTGCAATGGCAAAGTGTAGGCCTAGTACCCTCTTAAACCCCTTTAGCGCATAGTGAAAAACCACAACACACATGGTCTAGTAGTGTAGTGTACCATCTTAAACTTTGGGACCTGGATAGAGTATGGTGAGAAGAATGAAGGGAGTTTGAAACCTTGAATATTTAAAATAGTTAATTTATCTGGTCCTTCTCTCTTCAATACAGTTTTAAGTTGGCTCTCTCTCATCCAACTGACTTGCCAACTCTTATACAATTCTAAGGGTGTGTTAGTAAATACAATCTGGAGTGCCAGCGTTCGTAAATTCAGAGCGTTGCCAGATTGTCAGTTCGTAAATTCATAGCGTTTCGCTCTCGGAGCGTTCAGAGTGCACACTGGACGCTCTGGCCGAGGAGTAGGGTTGATCCTAGCGTTCTGACCTCACAACGGCAGTCAAGCACCCAAGCTAACTGGATAACGTTGGCTAGCTTGCTAGCTACTTCCAGACACAAATGGGAGAACACCTCACTCTGACCATTTTACTCGCCCTAGCAGAGCTGGTTAGGCTGTTTTCATGTTATCCAGATCGTTGGTGTCTGTAACTGTGCTGCTGGCAATAATTGAATTACGTTTTTTTGCAGACGTTTACTGACACCGGCCATATTCAACGGGTGTTGAGCGTTCATCAGTTATTCTGCGCTCTGGCACACTCAGACGAGAGTGCTCTAAAATCGGAGTAGATAGCCAGAATGAATTTGCAAACGCACCCTAAATAGCCAACATACTAAAAATCACAGTTTGTTAAAAGGTCAATCATCTTATCTCATAGATACATTTTCATAATGTAATTCTCAACATATCCCTAAAAACAGCAAGTTACAATGTTTCCCTTTGTTTACACTCTGTTTGAACGTTCGTTGGTCCTGTCGCCATGACTACGACAGGCTAGCTTGAGCCGACGTTAGCTTCTATGCTAACGGACATTTGTGAATTAATTAAACTATCATACATCATCAAAAAATAACAACAATTATAATTTAACACCGCTTAACTTGGTGTTTCATATCCTATGCTTTATAACTCGCTCACCGTGATGATAACGTTTAAAATATTTTGTTTATCTGGTGCTTCTCTCTTCAGGTTTTAGTTGGCTTGGCTCTCTCATTCAACTGAATTACTGACATGGCAGGCTAGCGCGACTGCGCGAGAGCCACTGTAGAGTGAGAGCGCGTGAAGCAACCACTAGAGTGAGCGGCTCCCTCTGCGGGCCAAAACAAGCACAACACCCCTTGACTATAAATACTGTAAATTATTACAAAATGCCAAAGATTAGGCTACATTATATCTTACATTCTCCCACATTTCAGGTTGGCAACACAGGGAACCCAAACAACATGAGCAAAAAACGGTACTATTAATAGAGAAAGTATTACCCCTTTTTCATGGCAACTATTTCCCTTTTTCTTTGATGTTACAGACAAGCTAGGATCAACAATCGTAGCCTGCCTCTGACTTTATCAGAAACTTGCCGATACTGGTATATAAATTCTTCAATATAATACCAACTAACCTCTTTTGACCTTGGGGGGTTTATTTATTTAATGCATTATACTGCCATTGTACTATGGTAACGCACAATTAATAAATATGGTACAATATGATAATTGTTGGTATTCTTTATCATAATTGTGCGTTACCATGGTAGAATGTATAATGCAGGTTAAAACTGTGGTATTTCCATGACCCACATCCATGGTAAAAAAGAGGCAATTTTTTTATTTTATTTTTTACCTTTATTTAACTAGGCAAATCAGTTAAGAACAAATTCTTATTTACAATGACGGCCTACACGGGCCAAACCCGGACGACGCTGGGCCAATTGTGCGCCGCCCTATGGGACTCCCAATCACGGCCGGTTGTGATACAGCCTGGAATCAAACCAGGGGGTCTGTAGTGACGCCTCAAGCACTGAGATGCAGTGCCTTAGACCACTGCGCCACTCGGTATTATTTAGATGCATGGCAGTACCATTATACTTCAAAGCTAAAACCATGGTACATTTCCATGATTCAGATCTATATGGTATAAATGATGCCAAACCATGGTAATATTTAGGTACAATGGAAGTACCATGGTAGTACCATCATACTTCAAGGCTAAAACTGTGGTACATTTCCATGACTCAGACTATACCACGGTATAAGTGAAAGTACCATAGTAGTACCATGGTATGAATGAAAGTACCATAGTAGCACCATGGTACATTTTTGTAAGGACAGAGGGAGAGCAGTGTGCAGCAGGCAACGGGAGTAGGTGTCACACCCGCGTGGGAGAAGTTTTTGTCGGTAGGCTGAGTAGAGGAGGCGTTCAACCTTACCAGACAGGTGCATGGTGGAGCAGATAAAAACATCCGAAGCGAGAAGCTTAACGAAAAAAGTTGGGTGTAGACAAAACCAAGACGCCGATAAAAACACAAAATTCCAAAGTCAGATCAAACAGAAATAACCGGCAATCTTTCATAAGCTTGACTTTCTGCCTATCACTCATCTGCCCATTTATCTTTGGACAATTGGAATTCCAGAATATAAAGAGATAGGGTAATGTGGAAAGAGAACGGAAGTGTATACATTATGAAGATTGAAAGATTAACCTCTTCTCAAAACCTATCATTCAGAATGATGAATGTCATATCCGCTGTCATATCAAGATATATATCTTTTTTTTTTTTTACATTTTGTTACGGTACCTCATAACATTCAGTTCCAGTCACACAAATATTTTTTATTAAAGTGAGTGTC